GTGTGTGTGTGTGTGTGTGTGTGTGTGTGTGTGTGTGTGTGTGTGTGTGGTCTTCGGCAATTTTTAAGAGTGAAAAGGGGTCCTGAGACCACAAAGATTGAGAACTGCTGTTCTAAGGTCCCCTCCCAGCTCCTGACATCCCATGTTCTAAGGTTCTCCCAGTTCTGTACCAGGAATCTTATCTAGAGATAGAGACTCAGACAATGACAGGACGAATGGGCATAGCTGGGGAAGCAGTGAGGCTAACATGACTTTCTCCCTTCCCTGATGGTGATAGTCTGACCTCTGGCTATCTCTTCTTGCAGAACTGGCCTCTCTGAGCCCCAGAAGCCACCAACCTCCATCCCTTCCCCCCAGCCCCTGGCCCTGAGCCAGGTGGGGCCTGGGACAGTGATGGCAGCAGGGTCTGGGCTGCCCCAGCTCCCTGAAGGCCTGGCTGCTCTCACCATCCCCATCCGACTGGACGCCCTCTCCTACCTTCTCCACAGTGCCCTGCTTGGGGCCTACAGCCTCAGGCCCGGCCCCCCACTTTGTCCTTGCCACCCTAATCCTTGTTGTGCCCGACCACCAGTCTCAGATCAGCCAGTGGCCCAGGATGCCCCCAAACAGCACTGGGCCAGAAGCCAGAGCCAGAGGGAAGCTCTTTGGTCGGGGGAGGTGGGGCCCTCAGGGGGCAGACAGCTGGGAGCCCCTGTGGGCACCATCAAGCAGAACCGGAGGGCGCGCCCTTCACCCGTGCAACCTCCTGTTAAGGACCAGAGGAGTGAGTACCAGCGCCGAAGACCCCCTCCTCCTCTGCCAAAATCCAAGAAGGAGTGGGAGAGCAGGCACCACCATCGAAGAGCTGTTGCTGCCTCCGCCATGCCACCACCAGAGGAGTGGGAGAGAGAATCTCAGCCCTGCAGGCCCCCTGCCCCTCCACCACAGCCCACGGACGACTGTGATGGCAGGTACCAGCATCAGCGGGCCCCAGCTGTCACCACCACTCCGCCTGCTGAGGACTGGGAGAGTGAGTACCAGGGAGCCCAAAGTCCCCAAGATGCCACCTTGGTCTGCTCTGAGAATGTGCTCCTGGACCCTGGGAACGAGGAGAGCAGCCCAGATGCTCAGGCCCCCCAACCCTAAGGAGGCAGCACCTTCCCAGCACCTGGACCACCTTCCCAGCTTTGTGCGTGGCCTATGAAGGTTGTAGTTGCTCTCCTCTGGAAACCCAGCTAGAAAGCGGACCTGGACATTCCCAGCCCTAAATCCATTCCCATCTCCCACCACACTCCCACCAACACAGCCGCAACCTCATTCCTACCTTCATTCCCATTTCCCACACTCACTTCCATCCCTGCCTCTGACCCTGGCTGGAGGTCCCCAGGCCCCCACAGCAAAGACTGGGTCTCCATCCCCCATGTGTCCAGCAGGTCTGGGCATCTGGTGGTCCCTTCTTTGCCCTGAGTTTCTCCTCACAATTTATGCCTAATGGGGCCCTGACCTTAGGTACTCTAATTCCTATTCTGGCCCCCAGTAAAGACCCTGAGCATTTTAATCCCCATCACTGCCCCCTGCACCCTAATCCCTTAACTCTTGAGCCCGTAGAAACCCAAGCATTCTGGTCTCCCAGTCCATTAATAAAAATGTTCTGATCTGACATTTCTATGTCCTGGGTCTCTGAGTCTTAGCCGCAGAGACTTAACCAAGAAAGGGGAATATTCTGGAGCTGGGAGGGGCCAGGTAACCATGGGGGTCACAAATCAGCTGAGGGAGATCAAAGGAGGGCAGGGGAGGCCCTGAGGAGCTGGGTGTGGGGGCCCACCCTTCCCCCCAAATCAGTTGTCTCAGCAACTCCCATTTAGGGCCTGCTTCGCCGACTCAGCAACTATGGGGACTAGAAGCTACTGGTGCCTGGGCCTATTGTCCTGAGGGGTTAAGGGATTTGGGGGCAGCCAGGGGAGGGCATTCAGGAAGGGCTGGGGCTGGGCTGGGACTCAGTCTGCACCAGGGGGACGTGATCATCGGAGGGTTCGGCATCATCTCTGCGACCAAGGTATGGAGCCAGGCATCATCTCCTGTACTAGGAGACCACTGAGAATCCCATCCCAGTCTGTATCAGGGCCCAAGGATCCTGGATTCCCAGCTCCTGCTCCCTCAGGGACTCATATCCCCAATCCCACCAGCACCACCATCTTGGGGACCCGAGCATCTGTCCTGCTTCCTTGGGGGCTGCCAATACAACCCAGTCACTCAGGGGTCTGCACCTCCCTAGCCCCAACCCCTAAAGGATGCAGGTATCCATATTGCCCCCGTGGAGATCCAGGTGTCTTACATGTTTGGACCCTGAGACACCAAGGTATCTAGCTCAATAGCTCATGTGTCCAGGGGACCTAGAACCCAGCCTATGCTCCCTCAGAAACCAGGCATCCTGATGCCCCAGCCTCTGCCCCTGCCCTGCCGCTGTCCCTCTAGCGACCCAAACCTACTGGTTCCACCACTCCCACTCCCTTAAGGACTTAGATAATTAGACGTTCTCTAGGGTTTGGTGTCTTCATACCTTCTGGGACACTCGGATGGCCAACCCCGCCTCCTCACAACCCAGAACATTCAGGTCTTGGTGAACCTGCGGTCTTGGTCCCTTCCATTCTCACCTCTCTAAAGGTCCAGACATCCAAACCTCTGCTACTAAACTGTCAGACACAGATTGTGTCTACCACCAGACCCCGGCTTCCCTCAAAAGCAGATCTACAATGACCCTGGCATTCTCGGGACATAAAATTCCCAGCTCCCACCTTCCGAACCACCCCCAAAGACCCAGACCTCTGCCCTTTGGGTGGTCTGGGCTTCCTGTGCTTTCAAGACCCTGGGCCCCTAGGTCCCCAGTACCTCCAGGGCTGGGGTCTAGTCCCTGATCTCTGCAGCTACCTCACTTCTCTTCTTCCTCTTCCCATCCCCCCCCCCCAGGACACCATGTACAGCTTCATGGGCGGGGGCCTCTTCTGTGCCTGGGTGGGGAACATCCTCCTTGTGGTTGCCACAGCTACAGACCATTGGATGCAGTACCGGCTGTCCGGGGCCTTTGCCCACCAGGGTCTGTGGCGCTATTGCCTCAGCAACAAATGTTACCTGCAGACTGAGAGTATCGGTAAGAGGGCTGGGGCTGGTAAGGTGAGGGTGTCCACCTCTGGGACCCAGGCAAAAGGCTGCTGGGACAGCAGGCTTGGCCCTAACTGGATAGAGCAGGCCAGGTAGGCACCAGAGAAGACCAGAGTGGGCGGACAAGTACAGAGTCTGGGGGGATTCAGAGATAAGCAGATCATTAGAGCTGGGCTGCTCTTGGAGAATCTCAGAGCTAGGAAGAATCCTAGAACATAATGTCAAAGCTGGGAGTATCCTTAAAACAGAAAATGTCAGGAATGAGGGCAACCTTAGAACAGGGAATGACAGGGATGGGGGAGGTCCTTAGAACAGGGAATGTCAGGAATTAAGGGAACCTTAAAACAGGGAATGTCAAGGCTGGGAGGGTTCTTAGAACAGGGAATGTCAGGAATGAGGGGAAGCTTAGAACAGGGAATGTCAGGGTTGGGAGGGGCCAGAGAACAGACGACAAAACCTAGAACTGAGAGGAACCTCAGAGACTACTGGGTCCAGATTTTTCACCTGAAGCAACGGTTTAGCCAGAAGAAGGAAGGCTGGAGCCAAGAATGCCGAGTCCTGGCTCAGACATTGGCTGGTTGTGCAGCTTCAGAAAAGTGCTTCTGTCCTCTGGACCTCAGTTTTCTCCTCTGTAAAGCTGCTCCCATCCCCCAACGCCTTGGGAGGCAAATGCTCTGTACACGTCGCCTTCCCTGCTCACGCGCTTGCACTGGGTAGGTCCGGCCCCGCTGCCAGACCGTCCTCCTCAGACGCAGGTGTGACTGCGCGCTGCGCCC